AAAAAAAAAAAAAAAGGAAGCAAAAGTCTTCCTAAATTCATTAAGCAGTCTTATTTGGGATTATGATTGGAAAGCAATACGGGCTTTGTGGGAGGAGGAAGGGATTTTTTCTTAGAAGAGAGGTAGGGTAGGTATCAGGGGTAGGAAGAAAGAACTGAGACTGAAGGTAGGATGTTAGAATTCTGGAAATGAATTCCTTCTCACTACTAGTGCGCTCTGACTAGGCTATTTAGAATTCTCTTAAGTGCTACAGAGTGATTCATTGACTTATCTGTTGACTTAAAAAAAGAAGTGTTGTTAAAGATGAATGTGTTTTATCTATAATATTTTGGCTGCTATAACATGAATAAGAGATGTCTAGGTTTTTATAATATGTCAGGGTCAAAGAGTCTCTTCCAACTTAAAGAATTAGAGTCATTTTTTCCAGTGTAGTGTGTATATTTCTAGAACATATAGTTTTCTTTTTAAAAATAATTGTTTTTAAAATAATACTTAGTGTTTCAAGCATTTTATGTTGCTAAAACTTTAGAAATGAGGAAATGAAAAAAACAATTCTATAGAGATGGGTTCCTTTCAGACCTTTTCCCAATTTTATACTATTTAATGCTGCAGTGAATATATTTTATGCTTGAGACTTTTTCAAAGTTTGAAAAAAAATTTTAGAGTGAACATTTTGACTATAATAAACCTCAGAAATAGAATTACTTATTGAAAACTGTTTTGTGGCTCATCATAGGTACATATTGCCAAAACACTTTTCCAGAAGAGTTGTGCCAGCGTACCTTATAACCAGCAGTGTGTCATGTATCTGTAGTTTTTGTCAGTAGCTGTTATTATTTATAAAATTATACATTTCTAAATGCAAAATATCAATACATTAATTTTTTCCTTTTTTAAGTGAAAGATAGTAGGCAGAAGTACATTAATTTTTTTCTTTTTACTAAGATTGAACATTTTTCTATATTTGTGTATTGATTTTTTTCATAATCTTGAAATGCTTTTCTCAGGATTTTTTATTGTATTATCATGTATAGGTCATATAATAAAACTTGGATTTGATGCTGGTAACTTGTTAATTTTTTTAATTTTTCATTTTACTTTTTCAGTAGAAAATTCATTATTACCTAATTTCCAAAATCTTAAAAATTATAAAATTGATATTTTATTACTTGATAGTAAAGTTGTATTTCATATGCTGTAGTTTTAAAGGTACTGGAAATAGTAAGTTAATGCTGCTAATATTTTTCTAGATTGAAGAAGGTATTGTTGTGATGGAAGATGACTCTCCAGTCGAAGCTGTGAGTACACCTAATACTCCCCGGAACTTGGCTGCCTGGAGAATCAGCATTCCATATGTAGATTTCTTTGAGGATCCCTCCTCTGAACGGAAAGAAAAAAAGGAAAGAATTCCTGTGTTTTGTATTGATGTTGAAAGAAATGATAGAAGAGCAGGTAGGAAGGTTTATGGGTCCCTTTCTTCAAAAGTGCCCACCATAAAATATGACTATATATCTAAAAGATAAATGTCCAGAACAAAAAATTAATGAAAACGTAGAATTTCGTAGGTAATCTGTGTTAGCAGTTAATTGATTAATTCACCCAACGCTTGTTGAGTAGATGCCTGTTAGACACCTTCAAGTCCAGCAAGGCATTTTATGTAATGTTTTTAAAATGGTTTTATTGCCAGCATCATTAGCCATTAACTTAATTGCCTATCATTAATGCAGATAAGACTATACAGCAATTTAATTAAGACAACATTTCCCCATCCCTGTTGTTGTGGACTAATTAGAATCTGTGAAAATGTGGTCAGACACAACTCTGTAAGTTTTCTTCTTGTTTTTCTGTATTTTTTTCTTTTGGTTATTTCAGATGTGAACTTTGGTAGAGACAAAGGTTATTCAGCTTCTGTAGCGGCATAAGTAGTCACCACTCAGGGCTTTGTCCAAGAGGTCAGGCATTCAGTGGGGAAAGCACAATCAAAGTTGTGTACATTTTGGGAATGATAAGCCGAAAAATAAAGTTGAGCTTAGAAGACATAACTGAGGAAAGAAGGAAAAAACTGACAATGTTAGGAAATGGTTCTAAGAGGAGTAACCGAATGGTAGTGTTAAGATCTAATCATTTTTATTTTTCAAATGGTAGTAAGTTTTCTGATTGATTTTTTTTTTTCCTTTTCTAGAAACTGTGATCCTATTTCAAAAACATAAAACAGAATGGAGACAGAAGAGTGCCCAGGGTAGCTAGCTGTGATTTTCCTGTTGTAGCTGCTTACTAGACAAGGTCTTGTCTATGTGCAGACCTATGTGCAGGTTATAGGCAGTGCTACTTTTGATTTTCGCCTTTAGGACAACCATTTTTAATATTTGTGCTTTAAGACATTAATAATTTAAATGTGAATTATAGTAAAATTTGTGGCTTGGTAATATAAACATAAAATTATAAACAATCTGAAAACTTGTACTCTAAAGGTCAGATTTTTGTCCCTGGTGTTGCAGACTTCTGTCAGTATAACATGTTCTTAGGAGACCATGACCTTTGAGGGAAGAAAAAGGGTATCTTTTACTAGACTGATTTTATGTGTTAGCAAAGTAGCAATTTCAGGATTTGGAAAACAATGTAGCATAGAGGTTTAAGACCAGTTGTAATAAGAAAACTATGGTTTGCTTTATAGATCGTGACTGTCAGGTGGTTTCTTCTGAGCAGAAAGAAATGATATTTGGGGTGGTTATGGTGTTGGGTGACTGGATCCAGTGCCCTCTCTCATCTGCACTAGAGGGATAGGAGGTACTAACAGGAGCAGTTAACATCTGGGGCATGCTTACTCTACTGTGCACTGTATAGAAGTGTTATACATGAATTATCATAGTGGCAGGTACAATTATTTTATAGCTTTGCAAACTAATGAACTTAACCTGTTCAAAGCACATGGTTAGTGACTAGGGCCCTGGGACTGGGGTAGGTGCTCTGGGTCCAAACTCACTCTTTTATTTCTTTCTTTTCTGAGACAGAGTCTCAAGCTGTTGCTCTGGGTACAGTGCGTGGCATCACAGCTGACAGCAACCTTCAACTCCTGGGCTCAAGCAATTCTCCTGCCTCCGCATCCCAAGTAGCTGGGACTACAGGCACCCGCCACAATGCCTGGCTATTTTTTGTTGCAACTGTTGTTGTTTGACGGGCCCAGGCTGGATTGGAACCCGCCAGCTCAGGTGTATGTGGCTGGCGCCTTAGCCGCTTGAGCCACAGGCGCCGAGCCCAGACTCATTCTTTTAAACCATTACCTTGTGCCGTCCAGCTTGACAGCTACAGCCACATGTGGTAATTAAGGTTAAATCAAATTATA